AAGAGCTATAATATGGAGGTAGCCATAGGTTTCTCAAGAAACTAAGGCAATAAGGAGATAAGGCTACACTAGCTACAAGGCCGAAGGCTGCACTGTAAAAAAAAAAGGTACTTTCTGGAACCTCAACAAAAGCTTCGGTAGATGACAAAAAGTTTGCAAATGTGTTGAAAGTTTAAAAAAACGAATAAATAAATGTGGAAACCTCGGATTTAAGTCCGAGTGTTATGTCTACTTCAAAAAGTAAAAAGCAATTTTTGTTTAAGTATCTTTGTAATAGGTGACTTAGCCTTCTTGTTCCTTAATGTTTTATATACCATTTTGTAGCCCATGAAATTCTCTATCGAATGGTGTATAATAGCTGAGCTTTTGTTTTATTATGAGAGAAAACGCTTTTTTGTGATAACTCAGCAATTTCTTGGCGAATCATTCTCATCTTCGAACTCGACCGAGATATCGATAAGACGATTCTGTCTGCAAAATTTCATCACAATCGGACGACGCTTTGAACAGTTACCGTATAAACCGCCGGCCGGTCGGCACCACGGACATACTGACCGATCCTATAGGGCACTCACTTTTTGAGTACACAAAAACGCTTTCCTTAACTCAAAAAACTACTTTCAAAATTTTTAAAATCTGACTTCAGATTCAGATTCCGCGACCCCGATTTACTTTCGCCAACCTTTATAGAAAATCATTATTTTCTCAAAAAATCCTTTCCTTAACCCAAAAACCTAAGTTCAAAATTTTTAAAATCTGACTTCAGATTCGGATTCCCCGACCCCGATTTGCTTTCGCCAACCTTTATAAAAAATCATTATTTTCTCAAGAAAATCTTTCCTTAACTCAGAAAAGTGCAAAGCAATTTTCATTTAAGTATCTCTGTAATAGGTGACTTAGCCTTCTTGTTTCTTTATGTTTTATATACCATTTTGTAGCTCTTGAAATTCTCTATCGAATGGTATATAATAGTTGGGGTTTTAATTGACTATGATAGGAAAAGTCGTTTACGAAAGTGGCGATGGGTCGATTTTTCCATAGGAAGGTATAGGGAAAAATGGGTATTTTTGAAATAACTCAGGAACGTCTTGGCCGATCCTTCTCATCTTCGAACTCGACCGAGATATTGTAAAGACTGAACTGTGTAGAAAATTTCATCGTGATCGGACTTTTCTTTCGAAAGTTATCGTGTAAACGGCCGGCCGGACGGCCGGACATACTGACCGATTCTAGAGTGTACTCACTTTTTGAGTACACAATAAGCATAATCGCAATGAATACGAGACGCATAAAAAAACTTGATCACTCCATGTTTCATATTTTTCTACTCCACTAATAAAGATGCTTGACATAGCTTTGCAGAATTTTCAACATAGTCATTAATCGACATATTCATGATAATGTATGGTTTTCGTTACAATTGTAGAAACAAAAAACAATGCGACATTAAATATCTTTTCGATTTCGATTAGATCTAACATTTGGATATTTCTTAAATTAAGTATGCCTTCTTAACAACAAGATCAAACTATTTTTCAGCTTATCTTTTCATCGTGAAACTTTATGCAACAAGTACTTTTTTCATTTAAATTAATTTTCAACTAAATTTTCAGATCTTTCTGTAATATTCGATTAAACACTTGACCCAGTACAGATGTCAAGAATAATATTCATAAATACTGGATGAACAAGAATCACTAGAGTAAATGAAAAAATTGATTTAACATAAATTTTATCCATAGATTGTAAAAAAAAAGTAATCCTTTTTCTTTTGTTATTTATTTTAGCTCATGCAGGACAACATGATTACAAGAGACGAAAAGCACATACTTGTTTGTCTTGTGTGGCAAATATTGCGTCATGATTCCACAACAGATTACACCTCTATGGATGTCATCTATTATACCGTCTTGATGAGCGGCTTCATTTTTAATCCACCATTCGCTAAGTAGTTTCTCAATCTTAAAGACTGATGAGAAAGTTCAAATGTCTAAGATATTTTTTTCCGATTATTATATTGACCATTTCACTTATTGTGATGAACACAAAAAAATAAAAGAAAGAAAATTATCATTGTACTTTTTGTCTTTCAATCAAGTATTTCTTTAGAAGGAAATTTTTATGACACTTTCTAGATAGCTGTCGAATTCATTTGTCATCTTGAATTTTTTTCTCTATATTCAAGAGCGGTAAATCAAGATTTTATTCGTTTTATGATTGAATGCAGTGCATATGTGAATAAAGCAATGAGAGACAGCTGTTGCAGGTCTCTATATATTATTGCTGTTGCTCCGAATGTCGATTGTGCTCTATTCATTATGAAAAAGCTCATTGATGTCAGTACACATACAGATTGTCTCGAATTTTGCGGATGTTTACCCGAACAACGAGTGAAAACAGTTCAAATCGGAGACTTTTTGCGATCGACACGAACAAATTCACTCAAATGTCGCTGCTCTCACTTGATTATTTCGACAGGACTATCTTATGAATCACATCTTTCTCGACGTTTAAACAGTTTCATCCGTATGCGCCAAGGCGAATAAATTGTTATGATGGGTACAGAGGACATGTCATCAGACATATGTATTAAAAGTATGATTGATATAGGTTAGTTGTGTGCACATTTATATATTGTAAATTGTATTGATATATAACCGAAGGTTCTGATAATATGAAATAAACATATAAAAATAAAGAGATATTTCAATTTAATTTTATCAAGTGCTAAAGATGTTCTAATGGTTTAGTATAAGCACTTGCAAAGCATTTTTCTAAAATATTTTTACTCCTCTTGAATACCAGATGAACGAAACATATTTGAAGTTTATCTTAGAATCTCGCGAAATTTTCTGATAGATTATGTCATTTGCCCTGAATTATACTATTAATCAGATATGAATTTTTTGTAGACAAGTTCGTATCTAATCACTTTGCACTGTCCGGATTAGTACACCGATTTTGTCAAAGAATAGTTTTCATGACGATAGTTGTGAATTAAATCTTTGATTTCTATATTGTTTAAATAAGATAATACTCTTCTTATGAATAGAATAGATAAAAAGAAGACTATACGTAACTATTCTTATACTGAAAACTGTCTCAATGTTTTGGATAATCAGATATGGAAATGACAAGAATCATCAAATCCAACAAGTACAAATCTGCTCGTTGATAATAGTTGAACACCAAATCATTCAAATGTTATTTATCATCTAATAGAAAGGCATATCAATTTAATGTTATATCTAGTTCTTAAACTCGACCTTATGCTATTGGATTTTGAAGTAACTTATTATATGATGCACAGTTACGCTATTCAAACAAATGAAACATGATTAGCCCTATCAGTTTCTGAGAGAGGTAAAAATATTTTAGAAAAATGTTTCGTAAGTGCCTATACTAAACCATTAGACATGATCGAGATTCGCATAAATAATAGTACAGACTATCTTTTATATTTGATAAAATTAAATTGAAATATCTCTTTATTTCATCTTATTAGATCTTTTGGCTACTCTTAAGCACGTTTCTATTTTCTTTCGTTCTCTCAGATAAAGTATTTTCTCAACTGTTTTATGTTATCTGTGTACATATTTCACTTCGTCTCTAACATCCAACATGTATAAATAGATATGTTGTGTCTATGAAGGGGTAGACACATACTAATTAAAGCTAATAAAAATTAGTATCTTATACGCAACAAACGATATCAGACCTAAGATAAATTTTGTTTGTTTTTTTATTTTTCATGACGCCAAGCCAAGAGTACGTGTAGTTAACGATCTCCTTGCCACATAAACCCACATCAAACATTGTTCTCATCGATGATCCGTGAGCAAAGAATCATGTTTGTATGTATCTTCTTTCTTACCTTCCGTCGACATCTGATCAGAGAAGATGACACATTTGTATACTTTTGTCATAAGGCGTGGGTGGGTGTGGGGTGTGGGGTGTGGATGTGGTTCAGAGTGAAGAGAACACCGTCTCCAGCATTCACCCACACCCTCAGGTAATTGATAGCTTTTTTCTCTATTAATCGAACATACACCGAAGCCATATTTTGTGCATAGATAGCTCTTATAATGCTCTAAAAAATTGTAGAGACATGGGAATTTGAAATGCATGGGCAGTAGCATTGAGTAGAACCACAATGGTATTTCTCTATTAAATATACACGATTTGACAGGACAAATCACTTCGATCTGTAGCATTTCAAAAGATACCAGTATCATTGGTTGTGCATAGATAACTCTTAATATGGCTTCAAAAGTTGCAAAGACACGGAGATTTGGAACGCTTCGACAATACCTTTTGAATCTTTAAGAGATCGAAGTAATTCACACCGTGAAATCTTATATGTTGGGTATAAAAATATCATTGTGATTTTATTAACAGATGTTGACCAAGCATTTCAAAATCTCCATACCATTATAGCTTTTAAAGGCATAGTAAAAGCCATCTATCCACAAAAAATTGCGCCGGTGTCTGTGGAAATGATGGAGAAAAGGGAGGCAAATTAGCTGGGATTTCTTATAATTTTGAAATAGGACCGATTTTGTTAGCGTATTCACCCCCGTTCTTTCATATGGTTAAATCTATGATCTGAGGAAGTGTATTCATAGGTCGGCGAGGGTCTTAACCTGGAATGTGACAATAAATTGTAATGTATTATTATTATCAAAAAACCATATTTTTAACCTTGTATATTTTTTGAGGTATTCTGACTAGTCGAATTTCTAGCAGCTAGAACTCGAAGAAAATAATATAAAAAGATATATGTAAATGAGGCAAGGGAGAAACGGCGGACTTCAAGTATAGTAAAGCAGAGTAAAGTAACGTCTAAAGTAATCTAAAGTAAGATAAAGTACTTTAAAATTAGAGCAAATTAGAACAAAGTACTTTAAAGCAGCTCGAAGTGCTGTGAAGTAGCGTAAATTAACTTCAACTACAAAGTACACCGTTTCCTCCTCGAAATGGTGTCATATCTTTTATGTTAAATGGGTAATAAACAACTATTGCTTAAGTTAACGGAAGTAAATGGAGCGAATAGCCGCTGCGCTGGAAAATCACCTGAAGGAACACTTCAGGCTATTGGGATTCATCAGATAAATGTTAACGGTCTACATCTAATGGGTTCCAATAGGGACTAGCAATGGTAAAGAACTGAGAAATATTTTGACATAAAGTGTAATAATGGCTCTTCTGCACGTGCACAATATTCGAATAGTAAATTTGACGGAAAACATAACTCAAAGAATTTATATTCGCTGTATTTGAAGTAGATATGAACGAAATAAAAGGGAGTTCTTCTGTTGGTATGTGTTCTTGTCTGTGTTCATTCATGTGTCGGAATGTATACGGGTATATTCAAATTATCTGTTTAGTTTGGCCGCTACTTTGAGTAGGAGTTTCTTTCAAGTATGGTATTCTGATAACAGATCAGATCTAATATGATTTATTTTAAGATAGAAGTTCAGCTCAACTCGTATTTTTCTAGCGGAAGCTCTAGTAAACAACATTGTCGGCTGACGCGCTAGTAAGTATACGGATTTTTAGTAGAATTTTCAACAAGTATGGCGCGTTTTGCTTCGTGACCTCTTAGAAAATTGAATATAATCTCTTTTTTTGGGTGCGTGCAGATATTGCCGCCGTAGTGTAGTTCATTTAGATTTCTGTTGAGTATTAATGTGTGAGCACCAATTTGATTCGATGAATTTATGAGAAAAATTATCACACGGATCCGCGTACCATTGCGCACAATGAGGTTGACGCTAATATCAACTTGAAACGTTGAATACTGGCTCTGTTGAAGACTGTAAAGTAGTATATAGCACCGAAAGAGCCGAATATTCAGTCAAGGGTCAAGTGAGTCATACGTAGGAGCGTTACTTGTATTTCATGGATATTAGTAAAATTTTGTCTGATGAACCAATTAATGAACATAAAGATAAGAAAAAAAAGAAGATAAATTAAAACAAATCTATCTTGCCTTGAATATGACTTTAGATCAATTAAAAGCATGCGAATATCCAACACAAATCACAAAAATCTGTCGAAAATTAGTGGAGTTTGTATATTCAAATGTTAATCGACGTGTTACAATGAATATCTCATCAATCCTAAATGCACAACTTGAAGCTATTCATGGTAAGTAAATGTCTTAGTTCTTAACAATAGATAACTATTGTTTATGTTTCAAGAATATGCATGGCTTGTACATGCTAATCAATCACAAACATCAATTTCTCCTGTGAACAAACGCAATCGGCAATGTTTTCTCAGTTGAAAAACAAAAACAAACATCTCGAATAGAAAATAGTTGATGTGAAATACGACAAAAATATTTTGAATTATTTTTAAAGAAGATATATTCGTTACTGTATATATGTAACATTGTTTCTTCTGCTCATATTTGTACTATTTAAGCTAAGAAATAAAGGAATTATATTCTACAGGGTCCGGCAAAAGTTCTGCCACAAGTTGTAAATCACTTTTATTCAAAATTAAGCAACATAAACAAATGAAACTTTGCAGAATTCTTACTTCATATATGTAAAATGTAATGACAAAAAAATCATTCAAATCGACCACCTTTATGCTTTACAACCAATGCTAATCGTCTGCACCAAGAGTCAATGGCAGCACACACTGTATCCATTGGTAATCGATTCCACTCTCGAACCAACGTTCGTTTTAGCGACTCCAAACTACGATGTTGTTTTGCATTGACCTTCGTTTCTAATATTCCTCATAATGAAAAGTCCAACGGGTTAAGATCTGGTGATGATGGTGGCCATTCTTTGGAACTGATAACATTTGGACAATTTCTGGCTAGCCACTGTTGCATCGACTTCGCCCTATGATCAGGCGCTGAGTCTTGCTGGAAAATCCATTGATCGTCTGGATATAACGTACTAATGTTGGGCTTTAATGTAGATTCCAAAATTTCATCTCGGTAATGCTTGGCATTGATTTTAACACCTTTTTCGACGAATTTTAATGAAATCTTGCCGCTGTAGAATATGGCACCCCAAATCATGATGGAACTTGACTTCTGGAACCGTTGAACAGTTCTTACATTTTCAGGAATATCTTCGATCGATAAGGCATAAATTCGATCATTTTGAGCATTATATTTCTGTTCCGCTACAAACATCTTCTCATCAGAGAAAACAATTTTTTGAACATCATCAGCATCGTGCCGGGCCAACAATACTTTGCATCTTTCGAGCCTAGCCGTTATCTGCTTTCCTGATAATCCATGTAATTTACGTGTTTTATATGCTTTAAGTCCAAGATCAATATGTAATATTCGTCGCATCGATCGGTCGTCGATACCTTCTTCCAATGTCAGTTTTGTTGCTGATCGTTGAGGATTTCTTCGAATTTTTTCTCTTACCCTTTTTTATGCGTTCTTTGGTACGACACTTACGAGGTCGACCAGATCGAGGACGATCTTTTACTGACCCAGTATCGCGTAATCGACGTATGGTCCGATAAACACAGTCTCGCGCAATTCCGGGTTGTTTTACATGTTGAAAAATTTGCGCATCAGAAAATCCTCATTCAAAATATTTTTGTACAACCTTCGATCTGATTCCATAATCACAAAAAATCTAAAACATACGAGCTGGCAAATGATATTGTCAAATGAGATAGTAGACATGTGGATGTATCTTATACAAAAGGCTAATTATCTCTTGTAACTCTGAAATTCGAAAAAAGGATTGTAAAACTTTGTGGCAGAACTTTTGCCGGACCCTGTAAATATTTTTCAGTTAGTTTTCAAAACGAAATTTCTTAGTCAATAATGACTAATATACATCCAAGAACATATCGACCCTCATGTCAAACTACAACAATCGAACACAAGACTGATATATTGTGCCATCTATATTATTATGTTCATATTCCAGCTTCATTATCAAAAACATCGTTTGCTCTAATCCTAGCTCATCTACTTATTTCCATTCAAAGATCTGCTGCTTGTATCGATAAGTTGCGACCACTATATATTTCCTTCAAAAACCTGACCACAAAAAAGTCATCAATAAAAAACATTATTGAATAGTAATGCATTATAGGGATTGAAAATAAAAAAACATCAATATCATCATATCATTCCATAGTTATGCATTACAATGTATTATAAGTAAAAAATAATCAATAACCTCGTATCCTTCAACACTCATGCATTAAAAATAAAGTCAATAAATAATATGAGAATATCCTATAATTAAATTGCAGTGTAAGATATAGAGAAATTAATTGATAATGTAAATAAGAATATCACAAACATTTAGAAACAATGAAATATAAACGATAGTTTATACTCGAGAACCAGTGAATTTTAGCGCGTTACAATGAATTACAAATACAATGCATAACATGCAGAAGAGTCTATTTTGAATATATTCCATAATAAGATACTGAAAACTGCTTGATGATAAAAATTAAATTGTCGTCTAGTTAAAAAGCAGTAGAGCATAATGCATGATGGTTTTTAGAGTATCTGTCAATAATAATGCACTGTAATGCATTCGATACAATAAAGAATAAATATAAAAATATCAATCAACTATAATGGATTACAATGCATAAAATTATAATCAAAATAAACAAAGAGAAGAAACAGCAGAAATAGCTATTAATTATTGAGAAAGTCAGATATTTTTGATTGTCTCTTGCAAGCGAATAGAAAAACGACAATAGAAGCTGGACATTCCAATGAATACATGTTCTTAATTGGCCAATGACTCTAACAAGAATGACTATCATATATATATATATGATTTCTTGTAATGATTAAGCCATCAATTAGTAACATTTGATTTTTTATTATATTATTTTTCGAAAATTGATGATTAGATTATTTCAATTGAATATATAACATTTCTCTATCATATTCATAGTATTCATAGTTACTCGTTTGAAAAAGAAACATTAATTCGAAAGGCCCCACGTTAATAAAACTTTGTTTATTTATTTATTTATTCTCTGTTTCTTTTCTTGCTATTTTTCATATTTCTTTCTCAAAAAAAAAATGAAAACTAAATCAAAAAATTAAACAAGAAAAAACAAATATTTGCAAAAACATTCATGTTGATTCGTTAAACTCAAAGAATTGATATTGTTATATTATCGTCGAATCATAACCAGTATCTACGTTCGCTCAACGAATCAACATGAATTTACAATTTAATACTAAAAATATTAATTATCGTCCTGGTCATATGTCTGAGCCTCGTCCACCTCTATTATCAACAACATCATATATTCATTTACATCCTAATGTTAATCAAAAGTCCAATCTTTATGATGCTGCACAACGAAAATATTCTCATCCTGATCGAAAATTTCAAACAAGTTCAACTACTACATTTTCTGACTACACAAATATATCTGAATATAAAAGAATCAATAATTTGCAAAAAACACTACCAGGTAATAATGTTATTGATTTTAAACCTAATAAAAATACCATTTATGTTCAAATATCTTCTCTTGTGTCTCTTGATTGCTTTCAACAACCATCACGTAAAAATCGTCGAAAATTACAACATGCTGAGCAATATAAAAACCAAGCTCAACTGTTTGAAACAAATTATGAAAATGTTAATGATAAATTTTTACCAACATCAAATGAATTTAATGGATTAATCTTATGGGATTCAATGCTCAAATTTGTTAGTCCAGACAAAGTAAGTCCACATGGCATCAAGGTAAACGTATCTTTTCAATCTGGCTGCGAGTGCAGCCGAATGCTTAACTCTTTAGAAAAACAGCATCTTGAACAAAATCATATATTACAAGTGGATTTTGTTGTGTTTTCTCTATGTACAAATGATGTTGCTAATTTAGGGCTTAATCTAACTATTCAACGATATCGTTATTTAATACAGCATGTACGACAATTATTTCCATAAACTAATGTCATCGGTTGGGTTGCTCTTTTACTACGGTGAAAACCTTCAAAATTATTTAATTCTTTACATATCAACGAAAATACTCAAAAATTTAATCAACTTTTACAAACATTATCACAACAAATGAACTTCGAAATAATTAGTGCCAATCTTCAACACCAACATATATATCAAGATGGTCTCCATCCATCAATTGAATCAGGCTCTATACTTATTGAAAAAACTCTCTATAACTGGTTTACTACATATACTCAACGTTTATCTTCAGAAAATAATCATCGCAATTTACGACAAAAACATCAACAACGGCAACACAATTATCTAACCAATGACAACAGTATTTGTCATCCATCAACAAAAAAAAACAAGAATAACATTATGTGTCAAGTAAAGTATTAATAACTTACTATCCACATTTTCTAAGAAACAAAGAAGAATTCTTTCGAAAAATTGCAATACCAGCAGAGTTAGAAAGTGAAAAAGAAAATATTTTTTTCTTGAGTAATCTACATTTTCAAACCGAATATTTCAAATTGGAAGCAGAAAAATGGAAACTATAATAGTAGATGTCAGGATTGTCATCTAAAGAAATATAGATGGACGGTCCTTCGTCTTGTTCTTCTCTTGTCTCCTGCTTAATATATATGAGATTGTTGTCGTTCATAGTAGAGAAATCACATATATAATCTTTTTTTTCTTGTGATAAAAATAACTGTTCATTGATTCTTCTTTTTTATCATTATTTAATGATCATTTATCGTATTGTTATTGTCTTTTTGTCTTGTAATTTGCTCCACCGTTGTTACTCTTTTGTGTGAAAGATTAGGTTCATATTTAATAAAAATAAGATTAAGATTTTCAGAACCTAACAGTAGATGATAGTAGTCTACCTATTGCTAGATCGTCATCTAACAGTTTAGCAGAGGTCCACTTACTCTACTAGATTTGAGTAAATTTCCTGAACTTTTTGATGAATGGTTACCTGAGCCAACATCAGGGCAAAAACAGGAACTAGAACATCGACGAGATGATCTACCAACACCGCCATCTTCAGGACAACCCTCATCAGTTATTCCAATAAAACATTACCACCAAGAGATAATAATGTACCATTATTTCAAGGATCCCTTCAATCAACACCATTTTTCAATGATAAGAAAACGAATAACAAACAACATCAACAACACTCTTTCAATTCACTCTTGCCATTAGAAAAACATAACAAAAATGAAAATGAACATCAAAGAATTCAAGCACCTACAGCCACTGTAGCTAGAGAATCTTCAATGATAATATCCCCTCTGCAAATTTTTACACCAGAATCATTAATAAGACCACCATCGGTAATACCAAAAAGTGTCATAACAACATTACATATGTCATTTGATTTTGAAATTATTCCTATCGATTTTAGATATTATTTCAAACGAATGAGACAAAAATGTACATTCGAGACAATGCAAGATCTTCAAGAGTTTCTCAAATACAAATATAATACACTACACAACAAGAGAAAAAAATTACATTCATCATTTTCTCGACATTTATGAACAAAAATAGTCTCTTTAGTGAAAAATATTATTGAGAAATCACTTGAAAATAAAAAGAATAGTGACCAAAGAAGATTAGACAATCTTTTACTAGATCAAATGAGAGAAAAAGCTACACGACATATTAAATATAGAGCAACATCAACAGAACAACAATATATACAGACTTTAAATGAAAAATTTATGAGAACATTAGATCTTAAATTATTATTAGATAAATTAGAGAGAAGATTTGTAAAAAATATGCCACCACCATCTCTCAATATTTTCGATAAAATAGAACTATATGCGAAAAGACTCAAACCGGACAATGCTTATTTAAACTCACTCCGAAAACAATGGAAAAATATACTAAGAAAAACGAAATTAGCTCTAAGAACATTGATGAGACAAACAAAAAAAGAATGTGAAAATCTGATAAAAAATTGTTCGACTCTCATCTGAAAATCATATCAAACTTTAATTCATGTATCACAAGTAAGACAGAATCAATTTGCAAAAATGAAACTAAATTTTTTAGCAAAAAGTGTGTGTGCAACCAAAGTCAACTAGTGCACGCCTTAATCCATCATCATTCAGGTTTTTCCAAAACGAAATTACATCCACATTACAGAAAGATAACTTTCTCGTCTCAAGCAAACAATAAAGCGTTTATCTTGCAGAATACAGAAGCAAGAGTATTTAACATGGAGCCACAATTTGTGCCATCAGCACCGGAACAAGTTTTAGAACATCTTCCAAAAGAGATAAGACAGATGAAAGAGAAATTTTCAGAAGCATGGAGAAGTATGACTAAAACCGTAGAGCAAGAACGACCCATAGTAAAAAAAATTGTGAACGCATAGAAGAAGAAATTAAGAAAACAGTTGCAACATAAGGACCAAGAGGTTCTACTGAAAAACCAACTATACGATTATTTCAAAAAGTTCAAAAACAAAAAACGGCATCGTTAGAGAAACGGATAAATCTAAAGTTTTTCATGCAGATAGTCGAGAAAGCTATATAAAAAAGTCAGCAATACACACGAAAAAAAACAATGCTTGTATAGAGATAGGTACGTCACCATTGAAGAACATGATAGGAAAAACAGATAAACTTGTACTTAGTTTAGTTTCAAGTAAACAAATGTCTCAATTTATGATGGAAAAATTGAGACCGTCGCCAATCGAATTGGAGTTGCCTCATCTATATTACAACCCCCAGGATCATAAAATTGGAGAACCACTCAGACCTATAGTTAGTGGAATGAAATCTCTATTAACAAAAATATCTGCCTTTTTGGATCAAAATATTCGTCCTCTATTCGACAGACATACTCCTTACTCACTTCCCAATTAGATAATTTTTCTCAAATATTTGAAATGTTTTAAAACAACGTCTGAAACGAATATGTACATATTTGATATCTCAGATCTGTACACCATGATTCCCCAGAAAGAAGCAGTGCTAGCTGTATGTGAATTTCTAGGTGGACATGAATATAAAAAGGTTCGTGGTCTATCGATCAATACGATAAAAGCTCTTTTCTTACACGTTCTAGAAAACTCATACTTGGTTCTCCAGCTTTCAGGATTAGAACCGAAATTCTACAAACAAGTAAGAGGAGAGGCGATGGGATCAGCATGCACTCAGGTACTTGCAGATATTTATGTACGGAAATGGAAAAGCTCCCTTGTAGAACAGCAACATCAACAAGAAGAATTATAATTTTGCTTTCGAGACGATATATTTCTAACTACTAGGCTACCTTCAGAACGGATAGAGGGATTTCTAATAGAACTGAATAAGAAGGACCCCAGCATAGGTATCACATTGGAAGAAGGAAAAACAATTGAGTATCTCTATGTGAAAGCAACTATAGAGATTCCCAGCTTCAGAACAATGGTTTTTCGAAAATTAGTAGCACAACCCTATATACTTTCATTTCATTCGTCACATCCTTCTCACATCAGTAGGAGCATACCGTATGCAGCTGCTCTACAAGCAACTCGCATATTTTCCCATTCCGAAGATCTCCGATGTGAGCTAGAAAAAGTTAAAATTACGTTACTTTTGAATAAATATCCATCACAGTTCATAGACAAGCAAATAGGACACCTCTTTAATGATCTAACAGGAGAAAACACTTCAAAGACACTACTAAGCAACAATCATCGAAAATTCAGGGAAATGATGCTGGATTTAACGTAGAATAAAAAGAAAAAAAAGAAAAATAAACTTCAATAGAGACATTCTCCTTCATTTCTCATACACTTCAATATTTAGCTCATTTTGGCTCTCACTTTCATCAAATCTGGCAAGATATTAGAGTCCTGCAACCCGATCCGACCAGACTCGAGGTCGGGCTCGGATACCATTTTGAAAGCCGTCGGGTTTTTCCGATTTTTTTCTTCATACAGTTCACCGTTCCGTGCATAACTCTTCGTGATTCAAGTAACGTTAATCGTAAATGAAGCTGCTGGTTCATATGATCTTTAGATGGACTAGGATAATTAGTGCAACAAATTTTGTAAACATTAAACAACTTAACACTCTTCTTTATAGGAGAGACTAATTGATGAACACGGAAGGAGATCATTCTACTTTTATGTTTGACATTAGTTGTCGAATTCTGCATGATGTTGCTTCAAATAAGACTAAAATTAATCATGATTTTGTTGTTCACTTTCTCCAATTGAAATTTCAAAACGGTTCTGCAGTAGCATTGGATGCAATAGTAATAGAATCCATGTGATTTGCTTTCCTTTTTTGGTGCTCCTATTCTACAACTAACTTTGGAAATATTTTTCTTCTCAATGAGCTCCCTTAAGAAAGTAAACTGTAGTAATGGTTTTATTAGATTGTTGCTCTCGAAATATTTGCATCGATCTGCCACAAAGACGATTATTTGAAACAAACTATCGCTTTTATGTCATTTGATAGCGATTCGTATTTTGAAGTACTTTTATTCGAGGACTCTGATTTGTTATTATCATCTCTTACTTAAGTTAGACCAATAACAACTGTCATCTCACAGTCACTTGAAACTATACCCATTCAATAACCCACGCAAAGTTTTATAGATTATACCGATGTTCTGTGCATGCACAAGATACTTCTATATATTTTTACAACGAGTCAGACCATCAGAATAGCATTCTAATAAATCCTGCGTGACTTCATGAAAGTTTTTGCTGTTATTGAATAACCATATTCGAAGAAAAAAGTGAACGAAGCATAAAAAGCTAACAAGTTTTCGGGTCGGGTCGGGTTTCAGGTACATCTTGTCGGGTCGGGTCGGGTTTCGGATCTACCTTGTCGGATTGGGTCGGGTTTCGGGTACACCTTGTCGGGTCGGGTCGGGCTTCGGGTATAACTTATCGGGTCAGGTCAGCTCTCGGGTTGGCTAAAAATTTTCAGGTCGGGCTCAGGTACAAAAAGTTGTACCCGTGCAGGACTCTACAAGAGATATTGAAAATAACACCGCTAAATGGCATATCGGTCCTATATACGAATAGACTCAATAATAGCTTACAGTACCTATTAGTCAAAACGAGACCTAATAAAGAAATCGTTAAGCTACCTTTGATTCCACACTACATAGCAGATAATGACCCTAATCTTCCTCACTGTATTCTGCCTTAATTTTTACGAAATTCCTTCGCATAATATATTTCGCCTTAGATTATATGAAATTTCTTCATATAGGATACTTCGACACTCTGCTTCCAATATTTCACATTATCTAACCACATATAGTTTTTCTATTTGTTTCTGTTTCAAATGTTGAACCTGAAAACTGAATCTTAGCTAAACATATAATCCTTCAATTTTTTTCTTTCCTATTTTAAACATTGAACTTGAACCATAACTATAAATGTAATATTTCTATTGTTTTCCATTTCAAAAATCGAACTTGTACCTGAATATTAACTATAAATATAATTTTTCTCTTTTTTGTTCTATTAACCCTAGTACTACCAGCCTGGGTCATTTTTGACCCATACGTGCAAAATGTGAAAATACACTAGAAATATTTTGCTAGATCCTGGTTTTTGGAAGCAATTAGTATTCAGAAAGAGGGAGAGAGTGTGGATGCGTATGTGATGTAGGTGTGGGTATATGGTGTAGGTGTGGGTGGGTGTGGGTGTGGCTGGGGGCGGGTGTGGCTGTGGGTTTCGGCGGGGGGAGTCGTGTTTGGGGGTGTGGGTTCGGGGGTGGGGGCGTGGTGTGT